TAGAAGTAAGTGCGTTCAAGCTGTCAAGCACTACATAAATTTCTCTTATTAATTGCTAATTGCTTTGAATAGTGAATTCACTTCACTGTGCTTTGGTGTACGCGCGAGAGACGGTTAGCAGGTCGTTAGCCCACAAATAATGAGGAAGCATGATTTAGTTATATCAAAGTTGCGGGCCATATGGCTAGGCCATTCGATCCTGTTCCTCTGCTTTGACCTATCAGATAGCTAACTAAATTAGTGGATGGAATTATCGCGAAAATGTGCCTCTAAACATATTTATGACATTTTATGCTCCGCCAAGTTTTTTTCTTGAGAAATCTGCAAATTATGCGTTACTGCGACTTCCTCTGTTAGATAAAAATCTTTGTCAGTTGTAATAGTTTATTGCTGTCAAGAATGCATAGCTGATTATTGTTATGAAACATAAGACTTCATAAGAATACGGTTTAGTGTTGTTGCTGCTCAAGGTATACACGTAAATGCGGCAAAAATTCAATCTTGCTCCATTCATGCGTTGTGAATGCTATGGCATTAGTTTGAGTGGTCGACGACAAATCTTAGTCATTCAAATTATTAGACGTATTTTATTGAGCGATTCAGGAATACTGATGTAATCCTAAACTAAAACTAGCGTAGTTAGCTGACATGCCTAATGAAGAATATCATGTCAGCGAAATCGCCGTGGTCAACTTATTTGCGCACCATGTAGAGCAAATCTGTTGCTCTACAGATTCCCTATGAATCATTCGAGAATACTTTAAGGATGATATATCATAGTGATTTGGTTGCACTCAGTGTTTTGAAAGGTGCACATGAAATTTTATTATCTGTTGCAGTTAAGAAAGTTGTTAATTTGCTTTAGAAGACTTCTAAATGCTATTAAAATGTTGTAATGTTAAATTTCTACATCATCAGATTTGAGGCTCGTCACAAGCTGATTGATTAGCAGCAACAGCGGGAGGCGTTTTCAGTCCATTTCCACTACCTGTTGCATGCGAACCACACAATAATTGCCCCCAAAATAGAAACTTATATCCATTTGTATTTAGCTGCATTGTCATTCATCGTATTCTTTTTTTGATATGAATTCCTGAACGAAATAATCACGATCAATTTGGAAAAGTGCAGGTTTAGAAACCATTGCCCTTGGTACGGTATTGACAGTATAGTTTGTCATAATTATGTTATTTACCGTTTACTCTTCACCACTTTTCCATAAAATTACTTGGCCACTTTATAAATGTAGTCACATGACTGCCTAAATTAATTTAGACTAATTTACCTAATTTTAAGTTAATTATACCTAATTTCCAGTAGGTTCTCAAAATATCTTAACACGGTTTCTTTAAACATCTTTGCGGTTATTGATGTACATCATTAAAAATACAATGGCATTGGGCAGACCTAGAGTATTCATGTATCAGTTGAACGACGAGCCACAGCCGCTTTGACTGTGTTCACTTTTTGTCAGTGTTCTTATTGTAGTTTCTGACTTTATTAAATCTTTGGAGCTTAAGGGTGAAACTGGTCTAGAATGATTCAGTCGTAAAATGAAGAGCGGTGCAAAGCACGATTCCTTTTCGTTAAGTACATGCCCTAAAAACTCACCGTCAAATTTATTATGGAAACTTCTTTATCGTAGACAAGATAAAAATATTCTAAAAATACTATCTAGTTTAACGATCAGAGTACTGCTATTTTGCAAAAGAACTCTTCAGGAATTAACGCAATAAAAATATTCTCTCCGTTTCTAAGTTTAGAACAGAAATCATGAAATAAGCACAAATTTTGTTCAGTTCAAATCTCAAATCTTTATATTGTAGTAGCATGAATTCTGTTTCAGTGAGTAAGCACAGCAGCAGTCTTCTACTATGACGATTATGGAGGTAAAGAATGAAAAACAGACAGTGCGATAATCAAATTTGGTGGAAAGTATTTGTCGTTGTAGAATACAAAGATATGTAATGAACCATTAAAAATGGAATCATGAGACAACGGTGGCCATTCTCTCTTTTGTCCCTCTACGACAACTCTGGAAAAAAGTATTGGACGAAGGATATCTTTCACATTAATTTACAGGAAAACGTAGTAAAATCCTTTTGTCATGCTGTCTACCGACTAACCGCAGGATCGCTCATTTTTTCGGTCGAGTAAACTGGCAAAGCTGGATGCATAGCATCAGGAAATGGAGAGAAAAGAATAGCTACTTTTTACTTCTTTCATTCCTTGTTTCTTTTTCTGGTTTCAAGAATATACACAAATTAACAAGCGTGAAATCACATAGTTGTGAACTTTCTTGACTTGGGACTAGGTTGCATCTTATGCATGGACTAATTCCCATGAATAACAATGCACACTTAAATGCAGATGCTAAACTTTAACCACTTTATATCTGTCTGTGATGATATAATTATTATTGTCTTACAAATCTTGAAGATGAGGTTGATGTGGTAGGTGAGTAAATCTTCAACTAACCTGTTAAAGTTTACTGAAATTCTCTGCAACGCGACTGTGGAATTTGTTTAATTGAATTGAAGATTTCAGTTTCAATTTATTTAGATTATAGTTATTATTTATCAGCTCTCCTGTTTTATTATTAGGCTTGACGGTAGAATGATTGGCGAGTGAATACTGAAACATTATAATAGGTAAAAAGTGCTTTACTCTGCCCAAAGCGCCACATCGTCATTTTCTTGACGATGAAACCACATTGCAGCTCATAGGCTTGACTTCGTTATCATCGCCTCATTGTCTCAGTGTATTTTAGTTCATGAGAGAAACTGGTGGCCGATATAAGAATTACAGTGCACGCGCTTCAGCTTGCATGGAAACCAGCTAATGTACATTCGCTAACAAAAATAGGATTTCAGGAACACCCTGCTGTACCTCAAAGTGAACAAATGCTGTGGGGTGAATCGGATCACCTGGTGTTCATAAAATATTGAGCGATTGAAACGGTTCCAATGCTCAACTTTCTCTCATGGAATATTGATCTGAAACGTTTCACTCAAGAATGTTAATGTGAAGTAAGTGTACCTATATTTCAAGGAATTCGATGAACAAAATGTGCTATCTTGCATCATGCTGCCGTTAACACCTTAGAAATTATTATCTAGGATCTTCATCGAAAAGCTGAGGCAGGCAGTGTATGGGTGATTTTCCCTGAGTAAGGCAGGCTTCTGGGCAGCATCTGGGCAGGCTTCTGTTCTAACCAACATTTTGCTCTGTATGGAATAATTGAGCAATGGCAACGATTCAGTTACCTTGCTTTGTTATCTTCCTCGACTTCATGGCTACCCCTGATTCGATGCGTTGGACAACGATGTAAAGAAGCTTGAAGTGTTCGGAGATGCCTCTGCGCATCGGTTCTGTTTTATAGGATTTGTTTCCATTTTAGATCATGTTCGGTCGAAGACAAAGTATCTGATTAATTCCCTATGAGCTGGGGAGTTCGGCAGTGGAAATGCTTTTGCTATCAGCACTGTTTTCGGTTTTTTCCTCTGAAACAGGCGAAGTCTAAGGTCTCGTTCTAAACATAAATTTTAGACAGAAGGCAAAAGCACAGATTGAGATATCCAGCCAGTTATCGTACTGACTTGGTGTCCAAAAATAATATTGTTCAGTAGCGTAGTATGAGAAACGGGCTTTCTTATGTAATACATCTGCGAAGGTCAGTGTCATTTAACGATTAATAGAAAAAGGGATACTAGTTGCACCATCGATATGAAATGGTAGAGAAAAATGACTTGTTGAAGTACGTTGGTTTCGCTGTCCTCAATGACTTTACTAACCACTTAAAGTTGAAGAATAAGATAGCCTTTGATCTAATTGTTTCTTTTATTTGAGTTGTGTAAGGCATATTTATTTCCACAGAAGTCCGTTTGTACCTTACCTCTGTTAGGTCGGTGCGGCCATACGTCGTTATGGTGACCGGTTTTGCAGCGAAGAACAGAGAATGATGGTTGAACATCGTAGAGCTATGCTGACTTTGTCAGTGGAAAGAACGTGGTAGGAATGATTCTTTCGGTCACAGGTATTCCGGCCAGATGTAGAGTTGAGGAAAATCAGAGTAACAGTTATAGACAAATTGGTTAAGTAACTTTATCAAGCAGAACAAAACCCTTCACCTGACCCTTGAATTTTCTCTGGCTACAACCAAAACAATTGACCGCGGCTAGAAGGAAGTCAAAATACGTCGAAGGACTATGTAGAAGCAGATTGGAATTTAAAGAGACATTTTTACTTCTACGACGGAGTAACTGGAGCCTTAAAGCAAGAGTATTGAAAGACTTAGAATATAGTGGACATCGCAGACCAAGACGTTGTTTGTGTAAATAGCGCGTGTTGATGAGAGTAGCAGGCAACATCATTTCAGATATATACTGTCCTCCTTGGCAGATTCACAGAAGGTGGAAAAGAAGTTATTTATCGAAGAGGGTAGTACTGATGTGGATGGTAATGAAATACGAATTATGATATAAGCCACAGTTGATAACTGAGGTAAGGAAATTGTAATTTGTTATGTGAACGTAAATTAGGGGTCAGCAATCGCGAATGCAGGTATGAGTCATTTCTTACCTAGGTATTCCGTTGGCAGTCAACTTCACGATGAACAGATAATGCAGCATTTAATGCTTGAGCGCAAGATCAACGAACATCACAGAAATACAGGTAGAATTTCTAGAGCTATAGTCCGATAGTGGTACATCACTGTTTCAAATCTTAACCGAAAGCTCTAGTTAAGAACTTAATTAACTATTGCGATAGATGAAGAGCGAACAACTTTGTTTGTTTGCTTAAATTCATCTTGAATTCAGCCCATGTTCAACGCAGGTTGGATAGACACAAGCAGATGAGGAAAAGCTGATATGTCAGGTTACAATGTTCTGCTGCGGAATCTAGAAGGAACTTCTCTAGTGTTAAACATCAGCACATCATACTTCAGATGACGACTGAATGACCAGACACAATGACTTATTTCAGATGAGCGTGGTCCTTTCTTTATGTAGCAAATGTTAGTAGCTTTTATGCAGTAAAAATGTAATAAAGTATTTAATATGTGCACTAATAAAATGAGTGTTGAATTATACCTGTATGTTCTTTGCTGTGGATCTCCAGCTCTGAATAGAAACGATATGAAATGCCGCATTTAGCGCAGACATATGGCTCTTCCACGTCGTGTACTCGCTCGTGTGCCCTCAGCGTAGTCAAGTAGTTGTAGACAAGTCCGCAAAAGCGGCATTTGTACACTTGGCCATGGCTTTCTTTCTCAGTTTCGTCAAATGACTTGACTCCTGGGTCTCCCTCTGGAGGTGGCATTGAGGGAATCGAACCCTCGATCGCTTCATTGACCGCATCCATGACCGTTTCCATGTTGATGCCTCGTCAGATCAGTTCAGTGAATGTCTATCACAACCTCGATCACGGAAAAGAAGTTCACTAGCGCAGCTCGTTCGTCCGCCTGCCTACACGCGCAACCAGCTGCCGATTTCTCCTCTGACATCTGCCGTTTGCCATCTCATTGGATCGGTTTGTGCTGGCCGTCTCTCTCCCTCAAAACTCGTTCTCGCCGCGAAATGCTGCAGTCAACAAAAACTTAATCGACTGATCGTGACATCGGTAAGCGATTGGGGTACGCTGCTTGGAACTAGATTTAACGCAGCCACAATGTGAAAGACATTTCCATTGGCTGGCGCGTCAGTTCTTCATCTTCATCTTCCATCGCGCTTCTCCTTTCGGGTCGCGGAGGCAGACGCGTCAGACAGTGCTTCCAACGTTCCCGATCCTGTGCCA